CCCATAAAACTCTGTTTGAAATTCGGTTCCATGAATAGAAACAAGGAAAAGCAGCTCTAGTTCCCAGGTAAGGGGCTCCCTGCTTACAAACCCAGGACAGAAGCTCTAGCCAGTTCCCAGCTGCAGAGAAGGGCTAACCCTCACAGGGACCCTCCAAATGCACCTCAAAGCCCATGCTGAGTAACTGAGGCCTTCTTAATTACAGAGAATCTTGAGCAATGGAGGAGGGGGAGACGTGCCAACAGTAACTGTGTGGGGGAGGCATCTGGTGCCGCCACCCCCCCCCCCGCCCCGCGCAGGCAGTCCCCACCCCACCTGCCACCGTCTGGCGTTGGAATGTCAGAGTCAGGCCCTAAGCCGCCCACGCCTGCATTTGTCCTTGGCAGAAACCATCATGAACGGCACGCAGTGAAAACACAAGAAAACACGCTGCAGTGGATTGTGATCATTAAACCTGCAATTGGCACAGCAGTAGCCCAGCTGGGGAACCAGGCTGGGGTGGGGGGGTGGGGCGCGGGCTGCTGGGCCTTGGAGCTCCAGTCCACACCTGGGCTGTCACGGGAGCCAGCCCACACCCCACAGGACAGTCGTCCCGGCTGCTCATAACTGCACAAACCAGGACACTCACTGGCCAGGGTTCTCCTGCCCAGGGAATAAAAGCCCCCAGCCGTGGGCTGCACACACTCCCCCAGGGGAGGGCCCCGCCTGCCCCAGAAGGCTGCTTTCTGAAGCTTTCACAGCTCAATGGAAACACACACCTGCACAGCCCGCCCAGGCACTTGCCCAGAGCAGCACGGGGCAGGCCACGAGCCGGGGGCTGCACCCCGCACTGCGCTCCAGGGCACAGACTGCGCTGCTCTCAGCCCTCGCAGAGCTCCCAGTCCAGCAAACAGGCTTGCAGGGGTGCTAACAGGGTCTTTATGGCTACAGGGCCAGCTCTGAGGACGCTGTGGTGGGTAGAACTGTGTCCCCAAAATGACATGTTGAAGTGCTAACCCTGGGCATCTATGAGTGTGACCTTATTTGGAAATAAGTGCTTTGTAGCTATAACACAATATGACTTGTGTCTTTATGGAAAAGGGGACAGCCACAGGATGACAGCCACAGAGTGACAGCGCAGAGTATTAGGAAGGCTCAGGCTCCCCCAACAGAAGCCACGTTAGTAATCCATGGTCCTTGGGTGTGTGTTCCCCAGAACAAATACAGTTGTTTACTTCAACAAAAGACTTCAAGACTAAAATAAGTCTTACGGTCCCTGGAAACAAACAAACAAACAAAAAACGTTTAAATTTTCTTATTTATTGAATATTTGATTTACTAAAACCTACATGTGTATTTGTTGCAAAGAAGTGTGATGGGGGATCTATAGAAACTTTCAAGCATGAAAAGATAGCATAGTAGGATAAAATTCTGGCCAAAATTTGATGTCTATAGTAAGTTTAAGGGAAAATGTTCTGATGAAGATTTTGGACTGGTAAAGAACATGTTTATGTGATTTTTTTTAAATGACTGACCATGGGCATCAAAACCATTTTGGTATTGGGGCGCCTGGCTGGCTCAGGTCTGTGGAGCATATGACTCTTGATCTTGGGATGGTGAGTTTGAGCCCCACGCTGGGTATAGGGCATACTTAAACGTAAAAAAAGGAAAAAAAGCCCAACATTTTGGTAATTAGCTTCTTGGATACATTGACAAGAATAACAGCTTTACTTCAAATTATCAGTATTTACCACACCAGAAATTCCATTCCTTGCAATTATTTACATTTGTGATTTCTTACAAAATTTAAATGTTGACTTCAAAATGTTCAAGCAGTTTGACAACTTTTCAAAATTCATTCAGGGAAAATGAGAGCCAAGACTCTGAAGACCCCCACTCCGTTCACATCAGCCACAGACTGGTCAGGCTTAAGACAGGAGCGAGCCCCCCCCCCCCGCCCCACAGAAGACGCGGGGCTCAGAAGAATGAAGCAAAGTCCTGCCAGTGTCTGAGAAGGACAAGGGTCCAGAGACAAGCATGGAACTTTGCAGGAGACAGTATCCGTCAGGGGCGTTCTGACCTGGCACTGATCAGGAGCAAGGTCCGTGGAGGGCAGGGGCCAGAGGCAGGGAGGGCAGCTCAGGCCAGGATCTACAGAATGGAGGGTCTTGCAGGCAAGTGAGGTGGGGCAGACAGGTGAGCAGAGTGTGCTCCGATGGGTCAGGGACCACTAAGAAGACTGGGGCACCACCACATCATGGACTCACTGTGGAGCAGGGTTCCGATGTCACCCGAGGGTCCTCAGGAAGAAGGCAGGCTGGCTGGGCGTGTGCAGGACACACTGGTCTGGTGGCAGGGGCAGGCATGCAGGCCAACGCTGAGAGGCCATTCCAGTGTCTGTTCGTGAGGATTCTTGGCACGGTTTGAAACTGGGTTGGGAGTTAACTTTGAATGGACACCCAGGGGCTGCTTGGATGTCCTCACACATATGTGGGCTCATCAGCTCTGGAAGATCTGGAGTGCCTAATCAAGACTTGCTCTGATGTTAAGAATCATGCCTCATCCAACCACATTAATGAAGCCTCTACTTATGTTCAAGGCACCAGAACACAGGGCCAATACCAAATCCTTTCTTGGAGCGAAGCTTGCCACAAAAGCAAGTAAGTATGCAAACACTCAGACTAACAAAGCTTCCAGTGGAGATGACATCATGCCACTGAACAAGGAAGACCAAGGACCACAAACTTACAAATGAAAGCAGGGGGGTAAAAGAAGGACCTGCGGGGTGGCCCCATGGGCTCCCCCTTGGCCCTTCCGCACTGGCCCACGTTCCTGGTCCCTCTCCATGGAGCAACAGTCTGCCTGACCCAGGAGATGGGAACTGCCCACATCAACAGTCTGCATGTTCTGCATTTTACCCAAATTGGATGCATCGTCAAATAGATGATGTGTCATTAGACCCAGAACACTTGAAATGCGAATGCTCCTCAGAAGTGGGATTATCTTTGCCCCTCCCATTCAATGCCTAAGTGCCCACCCTAAACCCTGCGCCCTCGGCCAGCTGCACACTGACCAGAGAACCAGGTGACAAAGCCCACCTCCATGAGGTCCCTGCAGCTCGGCCTTTGTGCCCCCATGAAGGGCACTTAGGCTGGGTGGTGAGTAAGGGCTGGCCACATCCAGGCCTCACCAGCCCGCCCCCCCAACCCTGCAGCAGACGGACCCGGCAGCCGGGGTGCCCAGCTCTGTGGACTGGGTCTGAGGGCGGGGGTGCAGCCCAGGGCCCACCTGCCTCCTTCTGCCTCCTTCTGAGGCCCTGTGTGGTGCCCACAGAGACAGCTCACAGACAGCTGGCCCACACCCCACAGCTGTGAGGTGGCTTTTCTTCGGCTCCCGCTACCTCCACCCACCCAGCCCTGGCTGCTACTCTGAGCTTTTCAGCACCCCCAGAAGAGGAGAAACTGCACCCAATTTCGGCTTAGTTGACTCGGGTGGCCTCAAGGGCCAGCGTTTTGCACAAGATGAGGCTGACCACCCAGCTACCAGCTTGAGGCCTATTTCTCCCGTGACTTGCGTGCCCCCACATGCTTGGGCGTCACGTGCCAGGGCCCAGGGTCACAGTGACCTGACCCAAGCACAGGATATTGGGAATTAGTGTCCCAGTGAACACCTGGACTTTGCACGCCTTGCCACAAGCCCTGGCTTATTCACACAAGGAGCATTTATGGAGCACCTGCTGTGTACCTGGCCAAGCAAGGCTGTGAGGATAGGGCTGGCCACATGTGGAAGCTGATAACCTGGCCAGTAGCATCTGCCCTCCTATGGGGCTCTGACCCAGAGCTCTGCTGGGAGGGGGGAAAGGACCATGCCCACCTCCTGTGGAAAGGCTGGTAGGGGTGCTGTCTGGCCCTTTGCCAGGTTTGGGAGAGTATCTGGGATGTCCAGACAACCATGGGCCCCAGCTTGGGGCAAGGTCACCCAGGTGCTGGAGCAAGTCCAGCCCCTGGACCATAATTGCGGGAACGAAAGGGTTAATCAGGAGACAGCAGGACCGCTGAATTGTGGGGAGGGGTTGTCTGGTCTTTGGGGCTCCTTTGCCCTAAGGCTGGCTGGCAAGGTCGGAATGAAACCGTAATTGTGGCTCCCAGCACGGCATCCATGAGACCCTCGCTCAAGGGAGGAGGCAGACCAGACCCCAGCTGCTCAGACGGGCCCTGCCCGGTCTCCTGCCCCCTCTCTCCCCTCTCCGCTCCCCCACCCCCAACCGCGAGCCTCTGAGCCTCTGCAGCCACCACCCCCAACGAAGACTGCGGCAGCCCCGCCCCTGGGCGGCGGGGGAGGGACCCGAGGGCCCCCGCGGAGAGTCCACGACCCACCCAGAGCCCTCCTAGCAGTGGACCACGGCCCTCGATCTCCGGGGGCCCAGGTGGGAGCACACCAGGCAGCAGCCTGCGGGGGCGTCGCTCAGGACACCGGCCACACAAGGGGCCCCGCCCCAAACGGTGCCCGCCGCGCACAGGCCGAGCGGCCTGCAGAAGGCAGCCAACGTCCCCGAGGGACAGAGTCCCCAAGAGCGCGCTGCCCCAAGTCGTGCCCCAGCGCCCGCCAAAGTGAGCAGGGCCTTACGAGTGCCGGGACCCCCGGGCCTCCCAGGCACCGGGTCCCCCGCTCGGGTGACACTGCGGCAGGCGCGCGGGCGGCACGCCGAGGGCGGGGCCGCGGGGGGGGCGGGCGCGTTGCCATGGCGGCCGGGCGCGCGTAGCCGGAGCCGGAGCCCAAACCGGAGCCCGAGCCTGAGCGGCGCGCGGAGCGGGAGCCCGAGCCGGAGCCGAGCCCGAGCCGGAGCCGAGCCCGAGCCGGAGCCGAACCCGAGCCCGAGCCGGAGCCCGAGCGGCGCGCGGAGCCGGGCGCAGGGCCCGCGGGAAGGCCGAGGCCCGGCGGGCGCGGCGGGCAGGGGCGCCGGCCAGAGCGCGAGGCCCCCGGCGCTGGCCAGTCCGAGGCGCCAGCGGCGCGCCAGCAGGATGCAGGCCATGGACACGGCCACCGCGGATTTGTACGAGGAGGATGGCAAGGACCTGGCGGGCTACGACTTCGAGCCGCTCCCCACTCTGCCGGAGGATGAGGTGAGCCCCGGCGCCCGCGGTGGGTCCTGCCTTCCCCCACCTTATAGGGAGAGTCCAGGGGAAGATGCCCCCGCCCCCCCAGGTCTCCTGCCCCTGGCCCAGGTCTTGGCAGCCGCTCTCAGCACCCCCCCACCGTCCTTTAGCATTTTCGCTCGGAGAGGACAGGCCCCCTGGAATGCCACATGGGACAGCAGTGGATGGGTGGTCACTGAAGAAGTTGGTGCCCTGTGGGGTGGGGGGCTGGGGGGCTCCTGACTATAAATGTTGAATGGATGAGTGTGGTTTGGGGCATCGTGAGGGGGAGGAGGGGAAGGAGGGGGATCGCTGTTTTCCTCCTTGCCAGCACCCTAGGAGGTCAGCCGGAGGCACCAGCCAGCAGAGCCCAATCTGGCCAGCAGGTTCAGGAGCTGGGGTGGAGGTCTGGGAAGCCCCGCAGAACAGAGGGCTGCTTCCTGCACACAGAGGACAACAGGGGCCTCCACTCAGGATCCTGAGTCCTGAGGCATCCCCCTACCCAAGGCTCAGAGGGACCAGCAGTCTCCATCACATGGAGCTTCTGGTCATTCACTGGACAGGTGCCCACAGAACCAATTTGCCTGTAACTCTGGCTTCCCTAGCACACCCCACAGGCTGTGGCTTGGGGTCAAATGAACAAGCCAGGTCCCTCCATGGTGATAGGTGACCCCCAGAGGATGCAGCCACTCCCAGGAAAACCCAAGGCTATGGGGTCTGGGTGGATGAAGAACCTTCCGAGCCTCCAGCAGGCAAATGCCCCAGTCTCCGGGCTTCTGTGCTCACAGCTGAGGAATGCTGGCATCATACAGCCATTCATGGGATGGGCTGTAACCAACATGGTGCTGATGAAGACCCTCCGATACCCACCTGGGCAAGGCTGGTGGCCAAGAGTTAGGCACGGCCACCATCCTCCTGGAGTATGTCAGGGGGTTCATAGGGGCCACAGCTGCAGTCGCCAGGGTCTTCCACCTCTGCCCCCCCCCCGGTTTTGGAGGAGAGCTGGCTATAAGGACAGAGTTCATGCTGTGGAAGCACCATCTTGGGCAGCAGAGTCTGCCATAGGAAGCCAGGGGCTGGCCAGCCAAGAGCCACTGAGGCTGTACCTGAGGACTGGTGTTGCCTCCCCCCCCCCACCCCGCCACCGCCATGGTGGCCTGGATTTGGTGAGAGGCAAGGCTGCAGAGAGGAGAAGCAAGAGAATGAATAAGCCTTTGGGCATCTCCATGGCTTTGATGGAAAATGAAAGAGTACACCCAGCTCACAGCCATCAGAGTCTTCCCCCAGAGGACACATTTCAGTGTATCGGTTAGAAGACTCACCTCCAAAATCACCATCCAAAGCAGACGTAGAACGTGGTTCTTCATACAGAACCTTGTGTCAGCCACCCCACACTTTGAGGGCCTCCTTTGTGCCCCGTGCAGAGTCAGCGGCTGGTGCCAAATAAACAGAACAGCAGGCCAGGACTCAGACCCAAAGCTGGATCCCTGCCCATGGTCTGCACTCCTGTGTGCGCTGGCGCCTTCTCTGGGTGGGGTTCCCTCATGCCCCTCTGGGTCGGAGCAACCCCCCAGCTGTGCACAGTGCACAGGGCTGGGGGTTTCCATCATCCCATGACCAAGGCCTCCAGAGGAAGTGGGATGCCACTGCATTAGCCGTGTCCACTGGGAAAGCGCAGATGGGCCCTTCGTACTTCTCCACCTTTTCTGGGAGACAGAGACACTGTCTTTGGATATATGCTCCCATAAAACAGGAAGCCTGTCCAGGCTTGAGCCTTGGAGCCAGACCGATGTCCTGTACCTGCAAACACACCTGGTCCAGACTTTATGCTTCTTGCACACACTCAGTTGGCATTGAAGGTTTTAAATCTCCATCAGAGACACGTGACTGTGTCTGCTACAGCATTATAGAGTCAGGTTGCCTCTGAAAAGCCATCCTGTGTAAGATGGGGGGGAGCCAGGCTGCATCACCAGCCAGGGTGGGCCATGCTGATGCAACCCCTGGAGAGAGCCAGGCCGGAGAAGACACAGGGCAGCTCCCACAGAGGGACGGCGGGTGCCAGACCCAGGACATGGACTGAGGAGTTCACAGTTTGACAGCTGATCATAACAACAGCCTGTACAGCAAGGTCAAGGTACAGGACCCTATCCCCCCTGCCCAGGAGCCCCTTGGAATGTTTCTCTGGTTGGAACCCTGGAGAAAATCCAGGTGGCCAATAAACATATGAAAAATGCTCAACGTCATTATCATCAAGGAATGCAGAAGACACCCACCATGAGGGCCTCTCCATAAGTGCCAGTTGGCAAGAATAAAAACTGGGCAGTGGCCGAGTCGGCAGGGACTGGCGTGGCACCGGACACCCCCTTGCCGGAGTGAGTGTGCATGGAATAACCTCTCTGGAAAGCAGCTTGGCATCTGATAGTGACATGGAAGCTGGCCGCTCCCTGTGTCCCAGCAGCTTCACTCTGGGTGCGTGCCCCGAGAAGTGTCTTAGCCGGAAACCCCCCGGGGCAGGTGGTGAGTGGGCCCCAGGTCCTGGAGGTGGTCACCCAGCCCAGTCTCTGGCTTCCTGCAGGTGATGAGGCTGCACTGGTACCAGCAAAGGACATGGATGAGGGATCAGGAATAGCAGTGGCTGCAGGAGGGGTGGATGCCGGGCCTTCCGGAGGCCAGTGGTGCCACCTTCAAGGGCCTGCAGGGGGCAAGGACAGGGGCAGGCTTGGAGATGAAGATGGTGCAACCAGTTTGGGCCTGGGGGCAGTGTGTCTCCTGGTCCCTAGACTCTCCTGAGTTTGAAGGAGACTTCTCATCCCTTCCACATTCAGAGAGCACCTCCCAGGCATTTGTGGACTGGGCGCTGGGCTGGACCCAGGGATTTGTGAGGTGGGTGGGGTCCGTGTTGCCGCCGAGAGTAGCCCACGGCTCAGGGGTGCCCTGTGAGGAAGTAGATACTCCCACTGAGCCCTGCTGGGTCCATGTGAGGCAGCTACCCAAACAGCACTGAGCCGCAGACAACTGGGAAGCCAAGGAAAGCTTCGTGGTGGGCGATAGTTATGAGTTGGAGGGGGGCACTTTAGGGCCAGGGGGAAGACCCCCAACAGGGTACTCTGCAGAGCCTCCCGGGCCTGGGGGTCTGGCAGGTTGGAGGAACCTGCCGGCCGGCCTGGAGATTGTCAACAACTGTTCTCAGCAGTAATCTGGGTTTCGTGTTGGCAGTTCCTATTAGAATGCTCCAAGGTTGAAAACATTAATATCTAAGAGTACATTTGAAATCTGCAAGAGCGATCCATGGGTCCCCGTGGGTCCCCGTGTAACCCTGGCTCACACACTTGTCTCTGAAGGAGGGCAGCGGGGTGTCTTCAAGGCACAGAATCTCCTGGATGGGCACACTTTGCCATAACCGGACGACGGTCCTCCGGTGGGAAGCCAGCCCTGCCCTCTGAGACCCAGAGACTGGCTGATGAGGGGCTGCCCTGGGGAGCCGCCCGCCCTGAGGGGTGCCCTTCCTCCCGGCCCGCACAGGGTAGAGCTTGCCCCTGCAGGATCCCTAGGGAAGGACAGCTCCTTCCTGTCCTGCAAGGACCATGACTTAGGTGACCCTCACCCTCAGGCCTACCCCACATCCCACCCAGGCAGCGCCTTGCCGGGGGACGGAGAGCGGTGGGGCCCCAGGGCCCCGCGCAGAAGGCTAGGTCGGTACTCGGGAGGTAGAACCACCAGAGGCTGCCCAGCAGTGACAAGGTCAGGCTGCACTGGCAGTGGCAGGGACAGCTGCCGTGTGGGAAGTCATGATGCCTCCGGCCTGCCATGGGCCCTCATGGGTGCTGGGCGTGTGGGTGCCCCAGAGGTGGGGCTGCAGACAGGCATCAGTGGGTGCTGGGCCCGGCTTTACTATTCGGAGCATGTTCCCTCCTGAAATGTCTGCCCCAGCCAGTGATGCTCCTGTCCATCCTGCGCAGACCCTGTGGTGTCCCCGGGCCGTGCAGGGCCGACCTGGCAGCACGGCTCCGAGCCCCGGCATCCTGGGGATGAGCACCAACGTGCAGGACGCCCGCTTGGCTCCCGTCTGTTGGGGTGGCCCGGGGGGTGGGGGTGTCCCTGGGATTCTGGATGCCCGCGTGGCTCCAGTCTGTCGGGGTGTCCCCTGGGATTCTGGTGGAGATGGACTGAGGAAGTCTGAGCAGCAGGTACAGGCTTCCCAGTCTCTCATCCTTGTGCCTGCTGGTCCACTAGCCAAGTCTCATCCCGTCCGCCCTCCTTGGGCCACGGCTTCAGGCAAGGGAGGGTCATTCCTCCAGCCAGGGTGAACTGGAAGGGTGGGTTTCAGGTCGCAGAGGACAGGTGACCATGGGGTCCATGGTTCAGGGTCCCCCAGCACTTGGTGAGACTCCCCCCAACCTTGGTGTGCCAGGAGAGCCAGCAGCAAACCTTGGCTCTGTCCTGGAACCATGCCAGCTGAATCCTGCCTTCCCAGCAGAACAGCTGGGTTTCAGAGGGGCTGAGAGCATCTTGTCCGTGAATCGGGGCTTCAGCCATGCGCCGGAAGCAATGACTCAGGACCCACAGATTCGCTCTATGAAGTCACGCAGACAGTCCCCCCACTTAGATGCTCCCACCATGAATAGGCACTGGAGCTCCCCCCCACAGGGCATCTTCCACTGGACAGGGCGGTGGGGAGGGGCCTTGAACAGGAAGCCATGCCCTGTGAGATGCCCCGTGGGCACCCCTGGCCTGGGCTCCCTTCTCTTGGGGAGCTCCCACAGAGGGGCAGCGGGTGCCAGACCCAGGTCATGGACAGAGAGTTCATAGGTGGACGGCTGATCATAACCACAGACAACCTCCAGGACGTGGGGCAACAGCTGCGTGAGCGGGCGCGTGCGGCCGGGGGAGGCGGCCACCGGCAGGGCATCAACAAGGCCCCTGCAGTGGAAGCTGGCTCAGACTCACAGTGTGGGCTAGCTTTCTTTTCCTAAATAGCACAAAACCACAGGGTCTCTGGGTTGTTTATTACCATGTGCCTGTGTGCGCGTGTGTGCACGTGTGTGCCCGTGTGTGTGCATGCACGCACTGCCAAGACACGCCCCTTTAATGGGCCCCACAGGCACGTCCTGGGGAGTCCCAGGGTGGTGCACAGCGACCCCTAGATGGAGCCAAATCAGAAAGACCTTTTATCCATGACCCTCGGGAACACGGCAGGGAGATGGGGACATTGAGATTTCCGGGTTTGCTAGCCCCCTCCACACCCCAGTCTAATCTGCTTTACACTCTCATTCTCCTTTTAAAACCCCCAGACCACCTACCTTCCCCACAGGGGTGCACATATTTCTGGAAGCTGGTTGGCAGCCCTCTGCTCTTGCATCTGCATGAACCCCATGGCCCCTTCTTCCTGAAACAGCTTCCAAAGGGCTGTGCTTCCCTCATCCATCTACCCCACAGAAAGAGCTAGAAGGGCCTGGAGGTGGTGTGCAGGTCCAGTCCCGGGGTCCCCCTCCCATCACCCCACCCTGCTGAGCCCAGGGGCTTAGCCAAGATGCCCACGGGAGCCACTCCCTGATTTATTTTCTCTCTTTCCTTCCTTCCTTCCTTCCTTCCTTCCTTCCTTCCTTCCTTCCACTCCTTGCCCCTTTGCCTGCAGTTGTGGGGATCCCTTGCAATGCAGGTGGGGTAGATTCGAGGGCAGGAGCGAGGAGACTTTTCGTGACCAGACAGCTTGGCCGCACTTGGAGAACAGTCCGGTGTGCTGGGAGGGGTGGGGCGGCTGAGGCCGGAGACAGGAGGGAGCTCAGTCTTCTGCACCATCTCCCCTGCTCCCCCTGCTCTGCCCACCCCCTCTCCTGACCCCACCTGCAAGCTCCCTCCAGGCTCCGGCTCCCCCCGTGCGGACCTGTGGAGCACAGACACATGGGCACAGAGAGGTGACGAGGGCATCGAACAGCAGGCCCCCGCTTAGGGCCTGGAGATCCAAGGTGTCTGATGTGTGAGGATGTGTGTGTGCACAAACTTGGGCACATGTGTGCGTGAGAGTATGGGCATGTATGTGTGAATACACGTGGGAGTGTATGAGTCAGTATGGGGGGGGTGTGAGTGTGGGATTGCACAACTGTGCATTTAAGTGAAAGTGTGGGTAGTGAGTGTGTGTGTGCATGTGTGTGGGTTGTGTGGCTCGACCATGGAGGGTGCATGAACCCGTCGTACCAGTGTGTGTGGAGTGTGGACATGTGTGAGTTCAGGCCTCTGTGACCATGTGAGAGTCATGTGTGTGAGTACACGTGGCGTGTGCCAGGATGTGTGCATGCACAGGGGAGGTGTGTGCACACACGACGATGCACCAGGGTGTGGGTGTCAGGTGCATGTGTGCATGTTGGTGACATGGTCACCACTGAGCCTGGTCAGATCCCAAGGGGGAGCCCAGCACGGGGAGGCCTGGGATCTGGCTGTGCAGGAGGGACCACAGTGACTTTGGGTCCTCTGTGTGCACTGCCCGGAGTTCAGGTCTGGGCCACGGCTCTGCCATCATGTCCGTGTTACCGTGTGTCACGTGGTCCCGTGGTACGCTCACACCACATTTGCTCTGTTGCGGGCACCATGGTGCTTCTGTACATACTGACTCATCTCCACCGGTGCCTACACCTTGCTCATCTGTGTACGACCTAAAAAAGTGAAGGCCGTCAGCATGCCCACCGAGCCACGTGTGTGAGCCGGGGGGGTTGGGGTGCGGGGAACCCGGCTGGACCCAGGGGCTGTGGGAGGCCGTGGTTTCTGGGACAAAGAACCAGGTCCTGGCCCCCGGGGCTAACACCTGCTCCCAATAGCATGCTGGTCATTCTGCCAAGTGCTCTGTGGCTTCTGGCATCCAGGGGACTGTGGGGCGGGTGACTTGCTGGGTGGTTTTTTTAAAGTCTTGCCCACAACCCCGTTTCTGACGTAAAGTGAAACACCGCCGCGCATTGTCTGCTTCCCTCGAGTCAGTCTCGACGCCGTGGCGCCAGGCCTTTCCCGGGGAGGAGGGCCTGCTGTGGCCCAGGTCTGTCCCCACACCTGCCTCAGCTGCGGCCTATCTTGGCAGGAGAACGTGTCCCTGGCCGACATCCTGTCACTGCGGGACAGTGGCCTCAGCGAGCAGGAGGCGTGGGCCGTGTGCCTGGAGTGCAGCCTGTCCATGAGGAGCGTCGCCCACGCGGCCATCTTCCAGACCCTGTGCATCACGCCGGACACTCTGGCGTTCAACACCAGCGGGAACGTGTGCTTCATGGAGCAGCTCAGCGGTGAGCCGGGGGCGGCAGAAGGTGCCTTTGGGGAGAAGGTGGACACAGGGTCCTGCCCCAGGCCCCCCGATCGCAGCGGCTGCCCTGGTGGGATCTCCAGCCCCAAGAACTGCTGAGGGAGAAGGAGGTGGGAGGCTCCCGCGGGCTGTGTCACGGCTCCTGCAGGGGACCCGCGCGGGGCCCACCAGCCCTGGAGCCGCCGGCCTGCAGTGAATGGTTGTGGGCCGTGAGGCCGAGGGCGTGGTGGCCAGCGCAGGAGGCCTCCGCTGCCTGCCCAGCCTCCAGGGTTCCCGCAGCCCCTCCCCTGCTCCAGGGAGGGCTGGAGACGGCCCGACTTTCCCCAACCTGTGCCTTCAGTCCCCTTTTCTGGGAGGCCGGGAAAACCCTTCTCCTTCCTCCTTGGATGGCTTCCCTGGGCTTCCCATGAAGAACGAGGTCTTCCTGTTCAAGCACTGTTTCCTCTGACCCGGTCCCCCAGGGACGCCAGGACGGAAGGGGGTGGGGGCGGGAAGGGGGCCTTGGGGAGCGGGAGGCCACAGCTCCTGCCCGCCTGGCTGGTGGGCTTCCTCCTCACCGTTGGGCCTTGTGCATGTGTGATCAGAGGCCTTCTCTTTTCCTTCCCCAGATGACCCCGAGGGTGCCTTTGTGCCCCCCGAGTTCGATGTGACCGGGAACACCTTCGAGGTGGGTGGCAGCAGGCGGGGGCACCTGCGTGCAGGGCACAGGCTGGGCTCGGGGGCCTGCCTTCGGGGCACCCCCACCTTTGTCAGACTCAGGGTCTCCGGCAGCACCGTCAGCTGCATTGGTCGCTTGGTGTGTGGACGCGTGCTTGTCATTATAGTTGTCGAGTATGTTTCCCGAGTGTGAACGTCACTGTATTTCACATGTGAAAAGGGCCTGAAGTTGCTGGTGGTGGCTGGTGGGGAAGCGCAGTGTCTCTGAGGGCAAGAGCAGGGCGGCAGGTTGGCAGCACCCAGCAGAGACGCGTGGCCTGTGGGCGATACCCCAAGGCAGCCACGCTACCTCGCTCTGGGCTCAGGTCACCACCCCCTGGGCACCCCTGTGTGCATGCCGGGGAGCGTGGCTGGGGGGCACCAAGAATGGGGTGGAGGACCCCGCCCGGCCCACCTCTCCCCTGAGTGCCGCGCTGGGCTCCCCCAGATCGCCGTTCACAGCTCCCACCTCCATGGAGCCTGCAGTCTGAGGTGGGCGGAGAAAAACAAATCAATCGTTAACGAGTAATTACAAACTCAAAAATTTCAGGGAAAACCTATTAGGTTAGTGACATTAGGCTAAATTTTAACCCCAAAATAAGAGTTTTGGGATTGGCTCCCCCTCTGCTCTATTTTACTTTACCTTAAACTAGCATCCAGCCCCTTGCCCTGAGAGGCCCTCGTCCACGCTCCGGTGGCAGGCAGGACCACAGGGCTCTGGGTCGCTGGTGGATTGGGTCTCTCTGATTCCCTAGACCTCGGGGGCCAGAACCAGAGCCCGGGTGGTCTTTGGCTTGGGGCAGCTCCCAGCCCTGGTCCGTGCACAGACTTCCTTAGTTTACCTGCATGTTTAGCACCAGAACCAACGTGAAACTAAAGCCCTGGAATAACGAACATCCTCCCAGTGCCGCCCACCTCCATGCCACTGGGCTGTTCCTAAAAGCAGTGTTGTTTGGTGTGTGTTGGTTTTCACATCTGACGAAGAGTGTCGCTACACGTTATCTTCTGGAACTTTCTCTTACGTGTTTCTGGACGATGCACCTGAACCCAGTGGGAGGTCACGTGTAGCCCAAGGCTCATGGGAGCATTGGTGCCGCCCTGCACACCCTTGGTGGATCTGGGCAGGAGCTCCTCCCGGGTGTGGACTCGGCCATGGGACAGCCACACGGCAGGACAGGCGGTGTTCCACGGTCTCCAACGGTGGCTACACCAGAGCGCACTCCCGCCAGCAGGTGCCACGGACCCCCAGCTCCACGTGGCTGAGAAGGCCCATTTTCCATGCAGTCATTATGCTTTTCTTCATATATTTCCACCCATTTTGTCAGGATGGCAATGTCTCCTCTACCATGTGTCTTCACGCTGTCCGTAAGACAGCGAGCGGTTCTCAGGACCCTTCACTCTCCTGAAAATAAGTAGTCAGAGAGCTGTCCGTGGTGCAGGTTACGCCTACCAGCGTGTTATAGATTAAACTGAGACACCTGTGAAATGCTTACCTATGAGTTCATTTAAAAGCTATAATAAGCTGTTGCATGTTAACACACACAACATATTTTTATGAAAAATAACAGTATTTTTCCCCAAAAAACACAGTGAAAAGAGTAGGGCTGTTTCAAGTATCTGTCCACCCCTTAATGTCGGGCTCCATGGAAGCCAGCTGGTTTTCATGGCAGCTCCGCCCTTGGCGAGGTCCCCGTTGGGGTGTCCCTGGGGCAGAGCCTCTGGAAGGTCCGGGGTGCACTCCGCTGGAATGGGAGCGTTGCTCTGGCGTGCTGAGGGTCAGGAGGGCCACTCAAGGGCCTCCTACGAGGGAGGAGGTCTCTCCAGTTTAACGGAGTCAAGTTTATTCATGTTTTCTTTGTTAGTATTTTTTGTACCTTAAGAGACCTTCCCAACTCCAAAGTCTAATGGAGGTTTGCTGATATCTTCTACTAGGAATTTAGAAATTTTGTTCTTCACATTCGAACTGCTTGAAGATGACTTTCCTCGGTAGTGTGAGGTAAGGACCGGGTTTCCTCCCTTTCCGTGTGGATACCCATTCCCACGGATGCTGGCCCCGGGCGCACACACAGCAGGCCCAGCAGCAGGGTGGGTGGGCCTGTCCTCTCGGGGAGGACGCCCGCTCCTGTCCTTCCTCAGAAGTGTTCTCACTATTCTTGGCCCTCTGTTCTTACACATAAGTGATAGAATGAGTTATCCAGGTCCATGAAAAGCTGTTGGCATTTTGACTAGAATAGCACTGAATCTATCGATCACTTTGGGGAGGAGGCAATCTTTATAATATAGGGTCTTCTGCATAAACCCTTTTACCTCCTCACTTAGTCAACACCTCAGTAACATTGAGTACTGTTTACTGTAGGAGTCTGGGATACCCTTTATTAGTTGATTCTCAGGAATTTGGTATTTTCTGCTTACATTCTAACTTAGAGGTCATCTTTGTGATTGCATTTTTCTGCTTGTTTGTTGCTGGTCTACAGAACACAATTCACTTTAATATCTTAATCTTCTGTCCAGCCATCGTGCTGAATTCTTTTGTTATTTCCCATAACTTACAGGTTATTTAGTTTTTCTATCTAACTGACCAGATCACCAGCCCGGGCGAAGGTTTTGCGTCACATTTCCATTCCTTGTCTTGCTGTGTGTCACAAAGCCGCACGCATCGCCAGCCGCGTGGTGTGGCCAACGCACCTCCTGCTCGGGGACACGGGCTCTGAAAGCAGTGTTTCTCTCCCCGCCCTCAGCCAGGATGGTATTTGCTACACTAGGTCCTCTGAGCCAGTCATCATGCTCTACTGTGAACGTACCTTGTGTTTTATGAAAGTGCTTCTGCATCCTTTGAAATGACCATTAAGATGTTTAAGATTTCCGTACTTATTTTCTAATGTTAATTCAGTCCTTCTTGCTTAGAAAACCTAAAGTGGCCAGGTGTCTTATCTTTTTAATACACTGTCACGTTCGATCTACAGATGACTACTTTGGCGTTTTGTGCTGTTTCTGACCATGTCGGGGGCAGGACCATCCCAGGCTGTGCGGGGGCCCCTTCCTGTGCCCATGAGAGTTTATGTAACAACGGGGTGCTCCGTGCCCAAGGTCCAGTCACACTTACTCATCAGGACACCTGTCTCCTTGGAGGGAAATCTTTTCTTTGCTGCTCAAGTTTTAATAGTTACAGGATTAATCTGTTTTGTATTTCTCATTGAAAGCTCTCTGGTAAACTATATATTTCTGAAGTTTATCCATTTTTACTTGTTTTTTCAGTTGTTGGCAGTTGGTTGCGGTGTCCCTTGTTGGTCACTGCACTGTCTGTGGGACATCAGAGGACTTAAATTCTCTTTCCTTCACTTGTCAGTCTCACCAGTGGGTATTTATTTGGTTAGTTTTTTCAAAGACCCCACTTCGTACCACATGATCTTTCCTGATGTGTCTTTGTTTTCTTTTCCCACTGATTCTGCTGGTACTTTTCATTTTCTTTTCCTTGTTTTGAGTGTGGCAAGTGTTCCTTCTCTACTGTTTTACTGTGAATCGGAGACTCAGCTCCCCTGTCTTCGTTCTTTCTTCCTTTGTAACGTGAACATTTATATCCAAGGCCATGAATTTCCCTCGAAACACGGGTTTTGCTGCGTCCTGTGAGTTTTGCCAGGTAGCATTTGTAGTTCCCTCTTCCTCTAAGTATTTCTTTTATTCCCACTGGGGTTTCTTCTTAGCCTGAGTTGTTTAGCAACAAGAATGGGTTGAGTTTTTCCTGACTTTTTATTGCGATCTGATAAACATACCAAGACACACACATGTCACAAGCATGCAGCTAGACGAGCTTTCACAGACTGAGCACCCCTAATCCAGCATCCAGATCAGGAAGCAGAGCATGCCAGCACCCTGCAGGGCACAGGGCCAGGTGGGGCCATGACGGGGTCCACACTTCAGCCCATCCACAGCAGCAGATGGGGGCTCCCAAGTCTTTAATGCTTCACATCTCTGGAATTGTCCTACGATAAAGTCTTGTTTTCTGAGTTGCCTTAATTCCCAGTGGGTGAGAGGTGATTTTCTCTGGTTTTCCACCCACAGAGCAAGCAAGTCCTTCTTACCTGATGCGTGAAAAGGGCCTGCCGGTGTGCACTGCCGCCTTGGGCCCAGTGTTTGCATGCATCCCCCATCGGGCCTGTGATTTCAGGGTCTCTGTTCTGCTCTTGGACGAGCTTCATTCCAGTGTCTGGTCCTGGGGCTGTGAGGACCCCCCTAAGTGCTGCATTGTGGAGACCCCAGGAATAGTTGCACATGTCACGTGGACTTATGTCTGCTCAGGTGCCCTTTCCTGCCTGCAACCTGGAGCCACAACCCCCTGCCCGCGAGGACCACGGTGGCAAATGCGCCTTCTTGTTGCCACTTCCAGCAGGGTCAGCCCCTGCTGCTGTCGACCAGGCCGCCTCCGGCCCCGACCTCTGGGTCTCTGGACTGTGGCAAGGGTGCAGCATGTTGGGTCGTGCTTGCTGGCCGTGTCGAGACTGAGCCCACACCCTTGCCCACTGTCCTCCCTACAGAGAGGACAAAGATAGGGGGCAGTTTTCCTGAGCCCTCTAGTCCTCACAAAAAATTCCCCCTTGTGACCTTGCCCCACCAGCCCACTCACTGCTGGGATGATGTCTCAGCTCCCCAAATCCCCAGATGCATGGAAGCTGGCCCTCCTGGGACCATCCCCTGCGCATCCCAACCCTTGCCCAGGAAACCCCAGAGATGGGCTGGTTTCCAAAAGCTAAAACGATGACCCTGGCCAGCATTCAAGCCCTGCCCCAAGCAAACCCCAGACCCTCACAGGACTCTTCTCTGAACCTGGTCACCATGAGCATGTTCAGGCTCCAGTGGAGCCCAGCCAGGATGACCTCGGCACCCACCACCCACCATTACTGTCCACTGTCACTTGTCCACAGACATGTGTGTCAGGCCTCACAGTAAACGGAGCAGATGGGCTCCTGCCTCATG